ATATAGAAAGAATCTTAGTCGGGGCGGGGGGGGTTGGAAGCATAAACAGAGAGTCTGTGTAATTCTGCCTTAATTCTGCTAGATATAAGTTGATCTGGAGAATTGTTTTGGCACCCTTTCAAGATTCTGCTACATTACCCTACTAGCAATAAAAAGCATCCCCCAAATCCAAAGGGTTCTTGTTTCCTGAGTTTGCCACTCTTGGAGGGTTTAACAAATTCAAAATTCCATATTCAAATAATGTGAAATCTTAAAAAGGTTTATTGGTCTATCTCAAATCAGGCATAGTGTACATGAGCAGTGGCATACACAGGAGGAATCAAAATAGGCAAGAGGGCAGGCACAGCATCACAGTACAAGCCCCGCCCCTTTTATATGGGTGTTGATATTGCAGTGCCACAACTTTCATACTGCTGTTTTTGACATCCCCCCACCCCATGATCTTGCCTTTGCAGGATTCCATTTTGATAGACATTCAATTCTTTAATCCCAACTGACTTTCATCTTTATTCCGTTATCTGGAAGAAAATGAACCATATAAGTAAATAACACATTTTCCGCTATCTGACAAACATAACTTGAATTTAACAAAGCCAGTGACAGCATATTGACAAAGCATTAGAATTCTAGTTCTCCAAAGGGGAACAATGCCACAAATTTTCTGGAATAATCTATCTAAAAATATATTATTTGTATACAGTGGAAATATACACAAACCTAGGTTTTTTTCAATAGGTCTAAATGAATAAAAATTACCATTTCCCTTTTTATACATTAGTGTGCAAAAAGTGTGACTTTGCATGGAAAGGGACTGCTCAGAGTGAGTGGGACAAAAATGTGGCCTTTTTCTTTTGCATTGTTTGTGGTTCAGAGAGTCAAGGGGCACGATGGGTGTTCTAACTTTGCAATTGCTTAAGGTAACATTTCAATCTTTAACACTCTAATTCTCCTCCAAAACTGGATCCCGTCCCTGATCATTTGGGAGTGGAGTTCTTGACATGGTGCGTAACATTTGAAGTGACCTTCAAGCTGACCAAAGTTGGCTTACACAAAAATAAACGAAATAAGCTAAGGATTTTATCCCTTAGAATTGATTAAGCAATTACAGTTTATAAAAGCAGTTTTCTCCTGGGACTATTTAAAAAAGATATATCCTAAAAGTAGCTTTTTGTCCTTTTGTTAAATCATATATACTCCTGCAGATTAGTATATTCTGCAGGAATAAGTACAGTAAGTAATATTCCTGGAAATGGTTCTTAAAGGTGAATGTGTAAACAAAGATTTGGGTTGTTAGCATTTTCTAATATTCATTTAGGAATTAAGTATGTTCTTTTGGGCATTTGAAGGATTTTGTTCTGATGACCAGTGCTGCCCATTTTTTCATATGGCCAAGCTTGTATTGCTTATTTTTACCTCTGTTGTTATTACCTGTTCTAGCCATTGTGGTCCAGAGTTCATCCTTTGAGTCTGAAGATCTCGTTTCAATTTCTAGTCTATACATGGAATTATCAGATAGCTTTTGGGTGATCTCTGCCTCCCAGTCTCCACTTCCTATCTGTGAATGGGATCAGTTATTAACTACATCTCAAAACTGTGAGGATCAAAGTGAGAAAGTCATGCAATTATCCATATTCAGTCTTAAGGAAAGGATGACATCAAAGCAATACTTACCAGCCATGAATAATTGCTTAAAGTAGTTCTATTGCTGAATGATGATCAATAATCAATTATCAGTTTTATTGATATCCGCCAATAAAATCCTTTCTCTTACTGTCTCCCTTTTGCTCTCTTCTCAGTTTGAGATCCAGTGGATGATGATTCATTGTGACCCTCAGCGTCCTCAGAGGGAAACCTGTAGTGAACTTACAATCAGGAGCTCGGTAAGAAAATATCTTAAGGGCAAAGCTTACTTTTTAACTTTGGAATATTCAAAATGCCATAATGTATTTCCTTTTCAAAGTTATTAAAGCACAGCCTACAAAAGTAATTCAGGATGGGAAGGCACTCTCCTTACCTGAGGATGCTGTTTGCAGCACAGATCAAGACAAACCCTGCCAGAAAGTACACAATGCTAAAAGCAGGGCAAAGGGTTAAAAAGCTGGAGTCATTCAGTCCCTCCTTTCGAGACATCAGGTTTCCTCTAGTCTAGCTACCCTCCTCCAACAGTCATCCGCAGAACTGTGCAATTTGAAAGTTTTTGGAGTTGGGGTTCTATTCTCCAATAACCTTAAAATCCATCTGTGGCAATTGAAGAAGTACCCATGGCTAGCTTGGGCCCGTGCACAATGTTTCCCTGGTTCCTGTGGATTTTTCTGCAAGTAATTTGCCTCTGTCTATCACAAGTAAGTTTTTCCTAACTTTTTGTTATTCTTTTCAGATAAGCCAGACAATCATAAAGGTAAGTCTTAAAGCTAGAAGGATTCTTACTGAGTGAAGAGTATAAAATGTTTCCAAAAACTCATAGCTCTTTTGTTCAATTTTTGGTTGGCAATCAATGAAAACAATGTGTATATTTCTAATGATGCTGCTATGTTGGACAAAGTATAGGATCTCTTATGCCCAGCTGGAGAGCTTCCAAGGGAAGTCAGATGGCCACTGCGAAAGATACCACGCTTAAATGGATAGGTTTGGTTTGAACCTGCAGAAGTGTTACTTTTCCTAGTTAATGAGGCTTCACAGGGATCCCATTTAGGTAGAGAAGATGTTTTCCCCCACATTGCTGTGAGATCTGTCTAGTTCTCTGGCCTATACACTGTTCAGAGTGAAATCTTACTAGGATCAACAAATATGATGAAGTTGGGATCCATTATATCAATTTTGATGCTTCCGTCCCCCAGACTCAGTTGGCACCCTCCTGCTTTAAACTGGAATTTTTATTCCAAGGAATCTCTTTTGTTTAATTCAGTGTAGTCCACAATGGACACATCCTCCAGATTAATTAATGTGGGTTAGTCATCACTTCAATTCCTTAAGCATTCCTCTTATAATTACAAACAAGATAATAAAAAGGGGTCACTTCATCCATGTTTATGTGTGACGTGGGCTTCCAACCGATGTTAGTGATTATGAATATAGAACCAAAATTGATGATTTTTCTGGATTAATTGCTACATAGTGGTGCATAGCTAACAGTACCAAGAGAAATAAATGGAAGAAAGTTAAATAGGGCACATAGCTGTGGGAAATATAGAATGGAAAACTTTCCTTCTGTGAATTTCACTTAGCTCACTTATTTGAGGACCCTGGAAAGACTTTTTTTTTAGATTTTTTTTATCCCGCCTTTATTATTTTTATAAATAACTCAAACATGCCTAGTACTCCTTCCTCCTCCTATTTTCCCCACAACAACCCTGTGAGGTAGTTGGGCTGAGAGAGAGTGACTGGCCCCAAGTTACTCAGCTGGCTTTCGTGTCTAAGGCGGGACTAAAACTCACAGTCTTCTGGTTCCTAGCCTGGTGCCTTCACCACTAGACCAAATTGGCTCTCATGTTTCCTAATAACAGTCATTCGTTGTTTTATGGAAGAATTCTCTAGCGTCTGACACACTGTAAAGCAGAATCTTATAGATACCTGCATTATTTTATGAGTTTACATTAAAAATAGATGAAAAGCTCTCATTTTTAAACCAAGTATTCAAAGAATGTCAGAAAAATCAGCTGAGAGTTTATTTAAAAATATTAATGTGTAATAATACATTTCCTGAAAATGAAATGTTAATCTTTTGAAGCACAGTGAGCAAAACAGCCCATGGGATTAGAAAGTCCAACAGATTTGTTATGACATTTATTTGTATAGACTCAAGCTAGCTTTGCTAGGCCCCAGAAAGAAAAAAATCTACCAATGTTTTTACAAAGAAAATGAACATTACTGTGCAGCCCATGAAGCTTGTGGTTGACTGTGATATGAAGCAACCTACTTTGCAAGCAACAATAATGACTTTTCTGCATTATGTCTGAAGAAAAAATGCCTTTTAAAATACTGGTTGTGAGAACTCTGGCTAAAGTCCCTCTTGGGACTTACAAAAATAAAGCAGTTTGGAAGAAAGAAGAAAGAAAGAAAGAAAGAAAGAAAGAAAGAAAGAAAGAAAGAAAGAAAGAAAGAAAGAAAGAAAGAAAGAAAGAAAGAAAGAAAGTTATAGAAAACAAGGTATTATTAAGAGCTATGGTGTGTGTACATAATTAATCTCTTACTTATGCATATGTCTCAGAAGATAAGTCTGGATATCTAGCTATACAGTAATGGCAATTTCACTTAGATGCATTTTTGCAGGTACCACTTTATTTTTTCTATCACAAATTGATTTCCCATTTTACAAGGGAATGAACTTAATAGGGAAAAAAAAGTAATCCAAAGGACATTATTTTATTCCATTTTGTCATCGGACCAGTCATTGCGAGAAGAAGTCTTCTTTTCCTGTTCAGAATGAAAGGAAAATATAAAGCATAATAACCCATCCTTTTTGTTCCCAGTTGCTGCCTTAAGGTGTGCTTTCCACCCCTTTAAGGATTTAGGCAGAGGCATTAATTCTGCCTCTGCCCACCAACAGAGACACATGTACACGCGTGCACATCTGTTCCTACACACCATTTGCCAATCTGTACATCTCAGGTTGTCATTACATTTTACAGAGCACATTTGTCTTGAATTACTATCTATCATGCAGATCAGAACAGGAACAGATTACCTAATCAAGCAGATGAATCTGATTAGGTCAGTTAGAATATCTTGTTGGTGGCTCTCAATTGCTCCTTCCCCCCTTTTATTGGATGGTTTCAGTTGCTTCCTCTTCCTCCTGCACTTTAAACGTTCTTTTTATTCCTTGCCAGAGAGGCCCTCCAGGTCCGCAAGGCCCCCCAGGCCCCCCAGGCCCCCCAGGCGTTCCTGGCATCGATGGCATTGATGTAAGTACAGCTTGTGCGGCATGCGGCAGTGAGCGTTGAAGGAATTCCTCCCCAGCGTTACACAATGACACTGCTGTCTCTCTGTGTATTTAACATGGGACACCCTCTGGCAAGTCTCCATCATGACTTGTAACTGGCATTAGAAATGTGCTGTTAGGCCTAGAAACCTAGGAGGCACATTCCTTAGTCCTAAAGCATAAGAACTGGTGGTATGACCAAGGCGTTATTTTCTGCAGAGCTAGATCAGGTCCATCATATAATCTGCAATTTGTATGAGGGAGTCTGTAGGATTAGTATTTAGAATCTGCAAATTCCATTACATTAGCTTCATAGCAATTCTGTCTACTAGCAGTAAGAGTTTCTCCATGTAGCATGCATATGTGTGCACAGAGACATTTATAATATCTATATAATATGCATAAAATTTGCAGATAGAATTATAAATGCTACTATGTTAAAATGAATTTTACTTTATTGTTACTTTCTTCTATCCCATTAGGGAGACAGAGGTCCTAATGGCCCCCCAGGCCGTCCAGTAAGTAACTGAGAACAGGGGTCTTTATCTTTTTTGTATTTTTTTTAAAAAAATCTCTATCTGTTAAAATACTTCATTGGTTCCAATTCACTCCTGTAGGGTCCTGATGGTGATGCTGGAAAACCAGGTGTGCCTGGATTGCCAGGGGTACCAGGAGCTGATGTGAGTACAGATTTCGGTTCCTAACTGGGCTGGTGCAGTCTAAAAGGCCGTGAGTGTGCCTGCAGCTGAGGCCAAAACCAGAATATTTCCCCAGTTGCCAAATGCTCCATTCTAAACCTCTCTCCCTCCTGGTCACATGACAGAGCAGAGCTCTAGCAGTAAGAGACTGGAAAGAATTCCATACTCTTCATGCATGCTTTCCTTAAGTTGCATACCTTATGCTGTCAAGGATTTTGGGTGAATCAGTGCCTGGGACTGAGCCATTTTCATAGATACAGCTACATAATTCTAGCTCATCCTTCACTGTTCTGGTGCCCTTTGCCCTTGCTGGCTGACAGTTCTGTGAGCCAACATGCAACATCTTTGGAGGGTACCAAGTAGGAGAAAGGCATTCTAGGCACTGGACTCGATGGTCTTAACCAAAGCTTGTTTATTTACATATACATTACACAGTGGCGGCCATTTCCTCCATCGATAAGCACATGTGGTATAGCTTGAACCTATTCATGTTTGTTCCAAAGCCTCCCAATCTATTTATTTGATAGATTTTATTGCAAAGCAAGTGTACAACTATTGTGGTGGAAAGCCTTCCTCCTTGCCCTATTATTCAAAAAAGACTAATTCAAATGTCAACAAGCACAAACACACCAAAAATACATTGCTGCAAATCCATTTCTCTTTCCTGTGTTAAAAAATGTTGCAGCCAACCCACATGCTTGAAAAATCCTCAATTCATATTTTGATACATACAAATACTAGGGATATAATCAACCCCCCCACACACACACACGCACACACACACACATTCATTCGTTCATTCGTTCATTCATTCATTCCAGTGACTGAGCCAGAAAAATGACAGTGGACAGTCCTGTTGATGCCAGCCCAATGTGCAGGAATAATAGGACAAGATCAAACCATTGCCAGCAGCAGCTGATTGTAATCAATTTGAAGCAGATTTTTGTTTGGTCATAAACTCATTTTAAGATCATGCAAAATTCATGTCAAATAGTTTTTAATACAATTCTCAACTGGTTTACCAGGACAGAACTTTTGAGTTCATTATTCCTATGATAATGTAAATGACTAATATCAATTATATCAACTTCTTTCATGTTCCTCTAAAGGCAGATTACTGATTTTAGAGTCACAGATAGTTTCTCTAAAACATTTAAATGCTGTGAAACAGTGTTATGGGACCTTGTGGAGAGTGGTGGTACAAATAAATAAATGAATGAGCTTCAGAAGAAGCAGTTGAAGTTGGACCAAAGAAACCAAACATCAGATGCTTAAGCTGAAAATGCTTCCAGGAAGCACTTGGGAGTAAATCAAGCTCATTTTTAAAAATACTTTGATTCCTCAGAACTAAGTTGGTGTAAAGTAAAAATATTGTGACAGGCCCAGTTTAAATACCTACACCCAGCTTCAGATGGCATTTTTAAGCTGGGATTATCTCATAGTGTAATCTTTCCATGAGTGCATGGGTCAGAATTACACATGTGATTTACTACTTCCATATATGTGTTGCCACACTATTTCTGGTACTGAAGTTGATCTTCATGGAAACAGGGATCCTAGTACTTCACTGGGGTCACATAATCATTTTTGTTAAACTGAAAGAGAGGGTGAATTCTTGAAGTGACTAAAGCTAGTATAATTGCCTACTGACAAACCTGAACATGTGAAAAATTAAATCTACTTTTTTAATGGGTAATTATAATTTATGCAATGAGAATCTCACAGGATGTTCTTGCAAAGAAATGTATTAAATACCCGGTCCGTCTGTTAAAATAATGTAATGGAATAAATATAGGAAGGCTTCTGAGAAACTATTCAAAGGCATCAATTCTTCAGCACTCAGTCTTCCTTATGGTCCAGCTCTGGCAGCCATACATTGCTACTGGAAAAACCATAGCTTTGATTATGCGGATCTTTGTCGGCAAGGTGATGTCTCTGCTATGCTGTCTAGGTTTGCCATAGCTTTCCTCCCAAGGAGCAAGCGTCTTTTAATTTCATGGCTGCAGTCTCCGTCTGCGG